TTCAAAAGAATTATTTTATGTGTAATAATATTAAAATAAGAATTATAGTTTCAGGAAGAAATTCAAGAAGATGATTAGCCATGTGTATTCTGGTCGAAGCTTTCTGTTTTGTTAATTTCAATAAGGTCAATTCTGTTCTGACTTGCCAATTAATTTGTTCACTTCTCTCTGATTTAATACTTCTCTTCTTTTCAAGTGAATTATTTTTCAAGTTAATGATATAAAATTGTATTTTTCTTGATGTTTATGATAAATAAAAAGTTATATTCTCTTGCAATCAATTCTAATTTCGATTTTCACTCTAAAGAATTAATTTACAGCTTGGTGTGAATTCGTTCCGAGCTCGGTACCGGAAAAAAATTGGTAAGCCTGAAAGTATATCCACTCTTAATCTTTTTAGCACTCTTAACTGTTGAAATGACCATCATAATTTCCATATCTGTACAATGAACTTCACCTGATGTTGGGCCTGATTCTGGTTTATCTATTTGATGACATCTAAAGAAATATAAACGTTGATTGCCAAGATCGTCGACTTTGATTGGTGCTGAATATGATGGATATTATCGAATCAAATCCAATATTATTTTATCTATAAAGGTTTAATTTAAAATAGTATTCGATAACGCAATATGTGCTATGTATGTGACAAAATATATTTTGTGGACTATATGTAAATATATATTCAACCATATATGTTAGCATTTAATTTTTGGAATATAAAAAAGATATATGGTCAACAATATATGTTTCTCATATACTATGAATTTATATATCAAATGTACAAAACAGGATATATTATAAATACACGGGATACATATATTTCTGTACATATATTTTGTTATAAGAAATCGGCCAATATCTCAGTATGGTACCATATACTAATTAATATATTTTTTCGTATATTATTTTGTTGCAAAAATATATTTTGCCATATATTGTTTTTTCACACCGGTAGGGTGAGCCAAAAAAACTAACCCATTTAAATAACACGTAAAAAAAACTTTGTTCATTAAAAATAATATAACTTTTGAACCGCTTGAGATGAAAATTTTTTGACGGCAGATTCTTGAAGGGCATTAAATTTCCTATAAAATCATGCTAGGTTTCATTTTTTAAAGTCAAAAATTCATATATTTACTGGATATGAAAATTGAACAAAAAATCAAAATAACCAATTTTAGGCATTTATTGTTAGAAATTTTTATATTTAAGGAAATAAATTACTTTGAAACGAGATTAGTAGGAGAAGGGGCAGGATATACAAGTATTATTTCTGTAAAAGCGTAGTTTAAAGCTCCTTGTCCGATAAGCTCTCCAGCTCACGACTTAGATTTCTTGAAAAAGTTAATCAATTATAAAAATATTAATAAAAAAATTTTGAATGCTACTGTATCAACGTTTTCGCGACATTTATGGTATCTGACAAAAAAACTTGCTGCTATGTCATTTTTGGAATTTAGTATTACTTTAGAAGTTAAAAAAAATGTAAACGCGATTAAAAAGGAAGAGAACAAAATTTGTGATAAAATCACTGATGTCTTTGGAAGAAATCATGTCAAGTAAATTTTTAGATAATATTATTCTTTCTTCATTAATTGTGTTCTATTCCTTCTTAATCGCGTTTACAATTTTTTTTTTATACTCGCTCCAGAAGTTCAACTTCTGAGCGCTGGGTGGCGTCCGTAAAGGGACTTCTTTTCTAGAAACTCTACCATACCGACTTTTTTTGCACAGCCTAGGCCCGAAGTTTTACCTCCTCCTTTTTTTTTGCTATGTCATTTTTGGAATTTAGTTTACTTTAGAAAGTTAAAAAAAAATGTAAACGCGATTAAAAAGGAAGAGAACAAAATTTGTGATAAAATCACTGATGTCTTTGGAAGAAATCATGTCAAGTAAATTTTTAGATAATATTATTCTTTCTTCATTAATTGTGTTCTATTCCTTCTTAATCGCGTTTACAATTTTTTTTTTATACTCGCTCCAGAAGTTCAACTTCTGAGCGCTGGGTGGCGTCCGTAAAGGGACTCTTTTCTAGAAACTCTACCATACCGACTTTTTTTCACAGCCTAGGCCCTGAACCCTCTCTTTTTTACCCTCTCCTTTCTATTACGAACTTTTCATGTACACCCAAACAAAATTGAGAGAGATTGTAAAAAAAAAGTCACATTCTCGCGTAACGACTGATAATTTTTAGTCTTTGTTACTATTGAGTGGCACCAATTATTTCTCTGCTGGCAGTTTATTACGAAGCGGACCTAATATTAATAAAATAACAACAACGCCATAAATAAATACTAATAAAAGTTATTTACATTTTCTTGACGTGAGCAAGACTTTAAGATTAAGAGAAAGATAATTAATGTAAAATTAATTTTTTTTGCCCTTCTGAAACTTCATAAAATTTAAATATGTCATTATTTGCCTTCTATCCCTTAAAAGTTAAACTTATGGAGCGATAATAACAACAATTATTGTATGTCATTCGGCCGTTTAGTGGTAATTTTGACAACGACTTCTTTTCGAAACTCGCTTCAATGTTTGTGACGCGAATGTTCGAAAACGAGCGTAAATTTCCGTTAAAATTACGCCCGTTTCGGGCCTTGCCGCCACAAACCTTAAGCTCATATGGAAATATCGTCGCTGTCAGAAAACCGCCACTTCACGGCCTTATGACATAAATATCTATTTTTTAACTTCTAAACTAATAATGAACTCGAAAAATTACATAGCAGCAAGTTTTTCTGTCAGATACCATTAATGTCGCAAAAATGTTGATACAGTAACAAATATAAATAATGCTGTGAAGCGGGAAAGAATAGGAGTTACGGATAATTTATTACGTGAAGCGTTCCAACATTCACGTAACAGGATAATTGGTAGGAAAGGATTGAGAAAGGATTGTAGAGAGGATCATCTTAATGTGAGTGTATAGAATATGCGAGAAAAATTATTAGATAGCTCGGATTAGATAGCATTCGAAATTTTTTTATCAATATTTTTATAATTAATTAACTTTTTCAAAAAATGTAAGTATTGAGCTGGAGCGCTTATCAAACAAGGAGCTTTAAACCACGCTTTTACACAAATAATTCTTGTATACCCCCCCTCCCCTTCTAATTGTTTTGTTTCAAAGTAATTTATTTCCTTAAATATAAAAATTTCTAACAATAAATGCCTAAAATTGCTTATTTTGATTTTTTGCTAAATTTTCATGACCAGTAAATATATGAATTTTTGACTTTAAAAAATAGAACCAGACATTATTTTGTAGGAAATTTGATGCCCTTTGTGACATACGTAGTTCGCACCCTGCTTTGAACTATTTTGCGAAAATTTTGTCTAGAAAATTAATTATAATTAGTTTAATTCTAAGTTTATAATTTATCGTACCCTTGAAGTCTGTAGAAGAGAAATCTGGGCGAGCTTTCCCAAGATTTGATGACACCCTATCTAATTTTCGGATTTCTAATTTTTGTCAATACCTTTCAAATTTTCAATGACTTTTACCTATTTTTGTATTAATAATACGGTGAAAGTATCATCTCGTTTTCTATTCCAAATTGAAGACTCAAAGTAAATTTCAAAACTACTCATGAAAGTACCTTGATTTCCAAGAATTAGAAAACGCGATGACCCACGGACAATTGCCCTTCACTACCTTTCATTTTTTTGGAATAATTTACCTATGAAGCCCATACAATCACTGATGCTGCTAATTATATAAATACAGCCCGAAACTCTTTTTCTGGCAGTTCGATTTCGACCAGGATACCACTGGTTAGCTCCGCGTCGGTCGGCTCCGGGCATCAAATTCTTCGGAAGCACAAAGTACTCCGTGATACACGAGACAGTGCCTTGCTCGTGGTTAGGTTACATTAAGTAGCACTAACGAGGTAAATTCACCGATATTTGCCATAGTTATATTCCGCCGTTGAGCGTTGATTTTTCCGCGAGAGTCGCGAAGTATATTGTTTTCCGCCGAAGAGCGTCGATTAGTGTTGAGTGTTTTCCGCGTAAAGTCGCGAAGATTAAAATAATTCATTATTAATAAATACTTAACTTCTTCGTGTCACACGAGATACGGTATTTTGATAGTGAAACTACCCATAGAAGGTGAAAGGGCCCATTAAATTTGAGTCTCTCTACAGACTTCCAGGGTAAGTCTAAAACATTATCTACTTTTAAGACATTATTTTTCTAACATTTGTGTTCTTTTTATCTCTATCTTTATTAACCGTTTTGTAAACCCAAATTTGGAACACTTTTACTTGTTTTTCTCAATAAATTCAAACAAATAAACAAGTTGATTCTTTCATTTTTACTTTTAAAATAAAATAAGATCTCCTTTACAAAATAAAGTTACAACTAAACAATAAAATAGGTTACTCGTGACCGAAGTCAGCAGGATCCATCATCCTTACTCTCTCTAAGTTAACGCTTAGAGATAACGTTCGAGCTTGTGTACCGCTCCACACTCCAACGCAATTTTTAATTTAGTTCCCGAATGGACAAAGTGATAACGTTCGGATATTTGAGATTTCTATTTCATATTCCTTGCGCCCATCACTCACTCCGTTCGTGACAAATTTGGTGTCAGAAGTGGGATTCACGCTGATTTTTCTATTGTTTTTGTTTAAATTTTATTTTTGAGATTTAAAAATCATTAAAGTTTAATTATTTTTGAAAGTTAATTGCAGAAAATATTAAATTTTATCATAAAATCAAGATTTTTCATTCCTTTAAAAATAATAAATAAACTCAATTTTTATACTATTTCTGATTCAACATCATAAAAAAAAAAATTTATTAGAAAGTATTCCATCTATTCCACTTTCAAGTTAAACGGAAAACAGTTTTTTATACCTCTAGTTTTCCCGAAAGTAAGAATTCAATTTAAAGTCACCTTTTAAAAAGAATAACATCATCTTACAATATTTGTTTGAATTCTTTTAAAATCCAACTTATTTTACTGAGCTTCTTGCCAAAACAATATCAAAATGGGTCATGCGGCCGAAATTCAGAACCTTACCCACCATCAAAACATAACTGATGCAATAATAACAACTATGGGCGAAACCATGTTGTTGCATCAAGTATTACTAAGAGTTCCTACTTTTGACGGCAGAAACATGCCTTCAAAATCATTTTTAGAAGATGTCGAAAGCGCGAAAGAAGATTCGCCCGATGGACTTCACTCCACTCTTCTAAAAAACATAAAATCGAAACAAAGGTTTAGCCAGAGATGCTATCCACGGCAAAGAAATTCTCACTTTTAACGAATTAAAAAACACCTTAAAAGAATACTTTGCCAGTAAGAAATCGTACCCCCAATATTGTGCTGATATACAATCGGTAAGATTAAATCAGGACGAATCTGTTCTTAGTTACTACAATCGCATCAAAAACCTTGTTAATAACGCCATTTTTTCTTTAAAAGAAAAATTTAATAACGAACAAGAAGTAACTAGCATGAAGAAACTATTAGACGGGTTAGCATTAGAGTCATTCAAACGCGGGTTAACTGATGACCTTGTTTACGTGGTATCAGTTCAAAATCCAGCTAACATCGAAGATGCGTACAAACTTGCCATGCGCATAGAAGAAGATTTGAAAGGTAGTAGCGCTCGAAATTCTAACTACCTGCGGTATGCCCAAACTCAAGACCAATCAAATAACTCGGAACGCCCCACTCGCGTGGTTAGTTTTCAAGAAGAGGAAAGAAGAGGTACAATCCCTCACTCTCTTAATAGAAATGACATTACGTACCCAAGAAATAATTTTAATGAAGAAAACAATAAAGAGTTTGGTAATCAGAATAACTCAAACAATTCAAATCGTTATAATAGAAGACGTTCTCCTAATAGAAATTACCCTTCACAATATTATCCTCCACAAATGGGTTATTTAGCCCCTTTTCCATACCCTCCGTATGTTCCTCCATATTATCCACCACAAATGCCTTAGGGGACATCCATTAATTACGTGAGCTATTTTTCGATCAGTTTAGACTCCTCCCCCCCCCCTTAGGTGAGATTTAGTGAGATTTGTCTGGACCCCCCCTCCCCTTACGTGAGATTGACGCTAAAAATATTTTAAATTAAAATTATTTTTATTATTCGGGAGAATAATAAACCATTCAAGTATACTATAGTTAATTTATTTAAATTAAATAAAATTCAAAGCAAAAAAGACCATTCGGCAGCCGAAATGCAAATAGATTTCATCATAAATAGAAAAAAATATAACGAGGATCGTGTACAAAACTAGGGCTTCTAAATTCTATGCAATCGACAAAAATATGTATCGACAGAAAAATACTAAAACCAGTGCAATAGCAAATTTCATAATTGGCATAGCGGAATAGGACATAATTTTGAGACTACACTTATGATATAGTACTTAAATTAAAGCTTATTTAAAGAGCTTTCAGATGCATTTTACAGAATTTCAATAAGTTATCCCATTCAAAAGTTATTCGAGTAAGAAAGTGAAGAAATGTGAATTTTTATGATTTTGAAAATTTTTAAATCCTGGTATTTCTAAATTACTTGACCGATTAAGCTCATCTTCGAACTTGACTTTAGTATTTATCTGTAGAATAAGTATGTTGAGTTTAGTAGAGATCCGTTGTAAATTAGCGACGCTATTGTCGTGACAAGCCGCGTTATATCCGATATATATATATATATATAAATATATATTGAGACACTGCAAAATGTCCCGATTTTATCATCCTGGCGAACTACCACCCGAAATTTTCGTTACCGACACTCGCTAAATTAATGTGTAGCTCCCGTGACGTCACAGGACGACACGAGGAGGAGAAGAACGGCGACGAGCCTCAAAACCTGAGCATTAATCGACACTTCGATCTATCCTCCGGTGTCAACCACCACGCTACATATTTCTTAGTCAATTTACTACTATACTACTATTACCACTATTATGTGATTACTCACCAAAACTTACTAAAATTTATAAAACTTACTACTAATTAATTCAATATTCCTTTTTACTACTATTAGGTGACTATTCACCATAATTTACCACTAATTCGCTATTATATTTCTAATATTAAATAACATTCATTCTATTGTTACAATTATTCTATTTTGTTAAGTTAAGTTCTGTCATGAGGACCAATGCAATAGTTAGATTTCTATGAAATCTACTGAAAAACATGAAAACAAAACTTTTTTAAAATTTTTACTCAATCCATGGAGACTCATGTACTTTTTTTATACATACATATTATGATTTATATTATAATTATAATGTTAAAGAAATCCACCATTAGCTCTGAGAAGAGCTTGTTTAAATCATCAGCGTAAATGATTTTAATAGACATAAAATTTATTTTAGCGGGCAAAATAAACACTCAAAATAACTTTTTTTTTAATGTCTGTAATATTTTATATTTTTTGAAGTTGAGGTGAGATTTTTGATTATCCCTTCCTTGGTTTAGATGAGATTTGGTGAGATTTCATTGGACCCCTCCCCCCCCCCCATTCTAAGCTCACGTAATTAATGGATGTCCCCTTATCTTGCTCCTTATTACCAGGATTCACCTTATTATCCTAGTACATATAGAGAGATCAAAATCTCCAATACCTACTAATCAACGCACTAAGTCTTTAAACTCCCAGGGTGCTCGACGGTCAGACGCCCCGACGAGCGAACTCCTCTTATCGCGTCAATCTTCAACAATCAAGTTTCTAACAGCCGAAAGTGTATCTACTGGTCAGGAACCTCAGGTAGAGGACCAGTAGTCGTATTAAAGGCCCCTGAATTAAAAAGTGGTCAAGGTCGTTTTCTAGTAGATACGGGCGCCGATATAAACATCGTTTAACTAGAAGCATTGCACCCTTGTTCAATTATAGCCGCTCATGAAGCATTAACAGTTTCTGGTATTACAAATAATAAAGTTAATACTGTAGGCTCAACTGAACTCACTTTCTTTAAGAAACCCCAAAAATTTCATGTTTTTCGAGAAACATTACCGATTCCCACAGACGGGATTATAGGTGTCGATTTTCTAGAGAAAGAGAAGGTTGAAATTTCATTTCACCATAACACCATAGTCGCAGATTCTAGACCGATTTTCCCTATTTATTTTGAACCTTCGAAACCAAATGAACTCGTTCCAGCTAATCTTCCTCCTATTGAAAATATTCCCTCTGTTGAAAATATTCCTATTTGGGGCGATGAGCCCACAACTTTTATTGTTAAAGCACGCACTCGAGCTTGTGTAAATTTGAAATTAAAACCGAGCAATCTTATCACCGGTTATTTACCGCGAATTCGCACTGAACACGAACACATTTACATGGGTGAGAATTTAGTCACAAATTTTGATAATACTTGCAATGTTTTTGTCATTAACGCATATGAGGAAGACATGAAGATTCAGATCCCTCCTCAAGAGATCTTTCCTTTTGAAAGTGACGAATTCTCTGAAGATTTCTTCAACTCAGATTCCAATTCAGAATCCGGTGACGAAAATCCAGTAGATGCCCGGGATAGAATCGATAGAATCATAGATAATTTAAATATCAATCATTTAAATACCGAAGAACGCGATAAAATAATCGAATTGATAAAGGAATATTCTCAACTTTTCCAGTTACCTAGCGATCCTCTTACTACTACTTCCGTTATTACCCATTCCATTCATACAACGGATGATGTACCTGTCTCTGTGAGACAGTATCGTTATCCGCCGGTCCATAAAGAAGAAATTACTAGACAGGCAGACAAACTACTTAAAGATGGTGTTGTAGTAGAGTCCAATTCACCTTACAGTTCACCTTTATGGATAGTTCCTAAGAAACCCAATAGTAAAGGTGAAAAGAGATGGAAATTAGTGATTGATTTCCGAGCATTAAACGCAAAAACAATTGGCGATGCTTATCCTTTACCAAACATTATAGAAATTCTCGATTGTTTAGGAGAAGCAAAATATTTTACTGTAATAGATTTAGCCAGCGGGTTTCATCAAATTCAATTAGACCCTAAAGATTGCAAAAAGACAGCTTTCTCAACTCCAAACGGTCATTATCATTCTGTAAATATGCCTTTCGGACTGAAGAATGCCCCTCCTACTTTTCAGCGAGGCATGGATAGAGTTTTAGTCGGATTAATTGGTGTATTTGCAATTGTTTATATGGACGATATTATTATTTTCTCAAAGGATCTTGAAGATCATTTCGTTCGAATAAGAAGAGTATTTGACAGACTTGTTACTGCTAATCTTAAATTGCAGCCCGATAAATGCGAATTCTTGAGTACAGAAGTCGGTTATTTGGGACATATTATTAGCGAAGAAGGAGTCAAACCTGATCCAAAGAAAATAGAAGCAGTTTCTAAATTTCCGGTTCCGAAAAATCCTACTAATATTAGACAGTTTCTCGGATTGGCGGGTTACTATAGACGCTTTATTGAGAACTTTTCTGGTAGGGCTAAACCTATGTTCACCCTTCTAAAAAAGGAAGAACCATTTGTATGGACTGATGAACATCAAAAGAGTTTTGAAGATCTGAAAAAAGCTCTATGTACCTCTCCAGTACTACAATTTCCGAATTTTAATGAACCTTTTATTTTAACTACCGATGCATCCGATTACGGCCTAGGTGCAGTCCTTAGTCAAGGAAAGATTATTGAGGATAGGCCCATTGCCTATTTATCCAAACTTCAAAGCGGCTGAACTAAACTACACAACGACAGAAAAAAAATGTTAAGCTGTTATAAACGGTATTTTACATTTCAGGCCATATCTCTATGGTCGTCACTTTACTCTTGTTTGTGACCACGAACCTTTAAAATGGATAGATTCTGTGAATCCCTCTGTCCAACGACTTATAAGATGGAGAACTAGACTTAGAGAATACGAATATTCTTTTTGTTATAAGCCAGGTAGGCTAAATGTTAACGCCGACGCACTATCTAGGAATCCACTCATCAATGAACCTGAGTCAGGTCCTCTTTTATTACCTGTTATTCCCCAACCCGCTATGAAAGTACAGAGCAGACAAGCAGTCTTCTCTAGGGTCGACTCGGGACTTAGAAAACGCAAACCTGTTCCTCCTCCATCCTCTATAACCGCGGCCGTTAAATCAAGGCATGCGAAACAAGACGCGAAACAAAATACGAATCAAAACGCGAATCAAAATACAAAACAAGATGCAAAACAGGATACCAGCGTTCCAAAGCCGTTACCACCATATCTTGGAATTCAAAATCCATTTCAAATGAAGAGCCGAGTTCAACGAACCCCCGTGAAAAAGAAAATTGATACAATTGAACCTGCAAATAAATCAATACGCCCGCTTAAATTCACGAACCTCATGGACCCTCCAAAACCTCCTGATCCTCCCGATGATCCTTTACCAGAACCTAGAGCAAGAAATAGTGCTTTTCCTAACCTTGTACAAAAACGTAATGCAATTGTAGAAACTGATTCCGAACAGGAAAACATTCCTGCGAAAAATCGTACAAATGCATTAAGATTTGTCTTCGATGTTAAAGATAACACAAGCGATTCATCTGCTAATACCATAATAGATCCTTCAGTTCCACCATCCTCAAATAAAAAAATAGTCGAAGTTTCGGCTGAATCTTCTTTCCAAGATCCTTATTGGTGGGATCTCAATGTACAAGCAGACCAAGCCGCAACATCAAAAGGACAAGACAATAAAAATCGGAAGTCTTCTCCGGTCACTTTCCAACACCCACTAGGAAATTCTACACCTCTTTCTCATATTAGTGATTCAGAGACTGAAGATGATCGTCCCCCACAGCAGGCACGTGCTGGTTCATTACCCCAAATACCTGAAGAATTTTCATCAGACTCCTCACTACCGTCGGAACAAGTTGAAAATTTCGAAAACCCTAATTCTCTCGCTCATAATATTACTAATGAACTCTTTTATCCAAATATACATCGAGAAAAACCTAAACTTTTAGAAATACATTCAACTAACGAAAATTTAACATATTACCGAGATAATTATTTACACTTCATTTCTGCAGATTGTGAATTTACAACCCAAATTTCTAGATTATTAATTAATACCGATTATATCAACCCTCAAGATATTAAATTAAAGAAACCTAAAGTACAGCAAATTTTAGTAACTCCTAAAGGCAAACATAAAGTTCTTAGTGCAGTAATTACCGGTAAACAGTTTGATGAAATTTCTATTCCAAAACTTAAAAATATATTATTTGTTCTTAAAGATATTAATCATTATGAGTTAAAAACACTAAGAATATCTAAAAATGGAGATATGTTAGAAAATCTCAGTCAATCTTTGTTTACTGAAATATTTGAAGAAGTACTAGGTCAATGTGACTGTGCTATTACCTTTTGTAGAGGAAATGTAGTAATACCCGTCGAAGAATCTCGAGCCGACATAATCGCTGAATACCATGAAAGCCTTACAGGTGGTCATAAAGGTATTACTAAAACTTATCGACGCATTCGGGAACGTTTTTATTGGCCTAATCTAAAAGACGACGTAACTGAGTTTGTTAGAACTTGTAAAAGTTGTCAGGAACAAAAGTTAACACGAGTAAAAACTCGAGAACCTATGATAATTACGGACACTCCTGCCGAGTCCTTCGATAAAATCTCTATAGACACGGTCGGTCCTTTCCCTATAACACCTAATGGTAATCAACATATTTTAACTATCCAGGACAACCTTACTAAATTTTGTGTTGCAGTTCCAATACCAAATTTAAAAGCTGAAACAATTGCTAATGCATTAACTCGGGAATTTATTCTTAAATATGGTTCCCCTCGGGTAATACTCTCTGATCAAGGTCGTTCCTTTGTTCGAAATGTATTTCACCACCTTGCTAAAATATTTAAAATCAAACATGTAACAACTTCAAGTTACCACCCTCAAGGAAATGCTTCTTCAGAACGAACCCATATTGTTTTGGCAGAGTTTATTAAACATTATGTGGATAAATACGAAGATTGGGATAAACTTGTACCTTTTGCTATGTTTTCATATAACACTCCTGTGCATGAATCTACTAATTTTACCCCCTATGAACTATTATATGGCAAAAAGGCCCGAGCTCCAAGTTCTTATCCAACATCTGAAAGAAGTGAAACTTACGGTAGATATTTGCATGATTTGATAACCCGGATGAGTGATATGAAAACTTTCGCTGCTCGTTCTTTAATTAAATCAAAACACCGTGCAAAGAAATATTATGACATGCATTTAAATCCATGTCCTTTCCAAATCGGTGATAAAGTTTACGCGCTTAAAGAACCCAGGAAAGGAAAATTTGACTCTCACTATCGAGGGCCTTATACTATTACAAATCTTTTCGATAAACATAACGCTATCACAGAAGATGAAAACGGTAAACGTCTACTCAAGCATGTTGATAAACTCAAACCTTGTAGATCTAGATTGTCAGATACAGACTCTGATTAACGTCTTTTTCTTTCCTTCTCTTTTATTATATTGCCACTAATATTTATTAGACATTCCAGAAATATTCATTCTCACAGGGTGATGATGGGAGCCATTCAACTAGCCATTTTGATAGGCTCTCTCCTGCAGCCGATCTCTGGTTTTATAGCTTTCGACTGTAGTACTCCCTTTTTAAATATCACTACGCTTTCTTTATTGGACGTTAAAGATTGTAATATTCCACCACCTAAACCTGTTATTACACACAGCAACGTACAACTTTTACAGACCTTTGACTTTTCTATGATTAAGATCATTCAATGTAAACTCAAGGTTCGTCATATTATTCGTTATTGTGGAGAGTTCAGCCATCTTTTTGGTGTAATTAATGGCGATATCGAATATATACACGAATTAGGGGTAGATGAATGTAACCGAATTCATAATAGTGGAGTTTTCTATTTTCACGGTACACACTTAGACCTAAAACCGAATTCAACAACTACTCGACCAGTAACCTTTCAAGGCGCATACTCGGTAGACGGCGTCTGCCAAAGAGGTACGTATACCGATGCTTTTGGATCTTGAAACAAGATTACGGTAACTGGCTATACTACACTCACCATTCAAGATTACTACGCGTCAGTTAGTATCGATGATTAAAAAATTATTTTAAGCACTGGAGTAAGATGCCCCTATCAAAGAGGAGAATGCACAGACTCGGACGGTAGTAATGTTTATTGGAACTTATTACCCGAAGTTGATTGCGGTCATCGTAAATTCGGTTTATTATACGAAGGTAGAGCTACAAAAATTAAGTCAAAAATAAATTCAACCGAAGAAACTCTTTACATGGTAGAATCTGAAGGCCACGCGTTCGCTCTAACCACTAAAGGTTTTTATTCAAATTGTCGAACTTTACTAATTAAAACTATTCATCCTAAATTATTTATTTTAGATTCTGAAGTTAGTGAATTTATACCTCGTAATCAGGGCGTCTCTATTAAAAATATAGACCTATTCACTTACGTAAATGCAAAATTTGTTTATTTCGAACATCATCTTAAAAGAGAAATGATAATATTATACAATCAGTTATTTCAACAACAATGTGAATTAGAAAAGAAAGTTTTATTAAATGCTCTAACTACAGCTTCCATCCCTCCAGACGAATTTGCTTATCAGTTCATGGCTCAACCCGGCTACATCGCTCATGTAGCTGGAGAGGTAATTCAGATTGCAAAATGTATCACGGTAGAGGTTAGACGTAGAGATACAAAAGAATGTTATCATGAATTACCTATTTCTAGAGGTAATGAATCCTATTTTATGCTACCTCGAACTCACGTTATGACTAAAACGGGTACACACGTAAATTGTAACCCCCTATATACCCCGATGTATCGTTTTAACGACTCATGGATTCAATTAAATCCCGCTGTGTCCCCCGTAGCTGAGCCTCAAAGATTAAGTCCAACTTTAAACTATACCTGGACCTACACCTACGCTAAAGGCCTCGCCTCTGGTGGTGTTTACTCAGAGATTGATTTACAAAACCTTAGAAATCACATGATGTTCCCTATTGAACGAAGCGCTATTTTAAACACCATTGCTCGTGATGCGACAGGTCGAATGATGCCAATCAAAATATTAAATTCAACACCATCATTGACGAAGAAACAATTAAAAATGTCCTTAATCATGCATGGGGAAAAGTTTGGAATTTCTTTAATTCGGTTGGTACTTTTAGCGTCACTCTTTTTGGAGCTTATGTCACTTTCAAGATCATAAAATTTTCTATTGATACTATAGTACATGATTATGCTTTCCATTCTGTTTATGGTTGTAGTGTATGGTTACTTGGTGCTCTATGGGATTCACTGACGAATCTTTTAATGCATACACGTCATAATGAACGCAATGCAGACGTAGAAGCACAAGCTATACCATTAAGGGATAATAATCAAAATCCATAATTAACATCAGTATCCCACCCATATGCATGAACTCCTAAACTATTACTCTTCTTATTAAGCTAATAAGAACTAATATTTGTTTTAATCAGAAAAGTATCCCGTCAGAGAAGATGAAAGTGCTCCTAGAAATTTTACCATTCTTCGTTTTACTACCTGTGGTAGTCACCAGCGATAATAGTAAAATACAAACAACACCGTTACAATCCGGTCTTTTATTTGAAGAAGTAAACAAAATTCGATTTAATGAAGGTCATTGGAAAGTGGCTTCTTCACTTTTTCCAATTGATCTTCTGTTTTATAGACCAAACCTTCCGCAATTGAAAGCCTCTTTAGTCTATAACAGTTGCGAAACACACTTACTACACGATATATGCAATCAAATCATAGATCGTCATAACTTCGAATATTTAAACTCAGAAATAGATTTATATATTGCTAAAATTTTTGATGAATTGAGAGCATTAGATATTTCCACTAAAGACTCAACACCAACATTTAGAGTCTCTGATAATATGAAATTTGAATCTTATTTTAGAAAAAAAGACAATTTCAACTTGCTAGAAAATTCGAGTCTTCATACTCAAAACAATAAAACGTTTCTCTTAAATGAGAATACTCAATTTATAAACTCAATTCCATATGATACTTTCGAAGCTATAAGAGAGAGACAATCAAATTGCAAATTGAGTAATTTTATAATCAATCACCCAACCTCAACTTCTAATTCAAAAACTCTTTCAGTTTTTCTAGATAAAATTAAAACATGGTCTATTCATGTCCGAAAATTATTCGATAACTATCTGGACACACTGAAAGAGATAATGATGGGTATACAACTGGCTAGAGTAGGACAATTCTACCCAGGTATAATAAGCCCTAGTAAAATCATTACTATAGCTGAGAAAATGGTTAAAACTAAGCAAGGGAGAATATTACCTATATTACTCGAAAAATTTACTTTCGTAGATTTATTGAAAGTTTCTAAATTAGAATTTATATATTATGAGAATAGGATATTAATATTTATAACAATACCTATGTTAGATTCTAAACTCTATAGTTTATATAACCTCCACCCCTATCCTGTTTCACAAAAATTCGGCAAAAACACTAAAGCCTCTGCCTACATACAACCTCGAACAGACTATCTGCTTACTTGTATTAACAAATATTGGTACACTCTCCTAACTGAGAATGAAATAAAACAGTGTACTCCAGTTGCTAATTTCCTTCTGTGTCCACCTATTTTTCCTTTATACGATTTAACTATTGATCCTGCCTGTGAAATTTCATTACTGAATAATCAACCTCATTTTAACGCACTAACGTGTGACATAAGAATGAGTCAAGCACACCGATCCTACTGGAAACAATTAACTACCACTCCAGGATGGATATACTCACTACCTGAAACGAAATCAATAATTATAACCTGCAACGGTAGAACTTCTTATACCACTTTTTCAGGCACAGGACTACTTAAAATCAGTCCAGGATGTGTGGTTACCGCAAACTTGGTGCAGCTATTCAGTCAAGATCAAACTGAAAACACTCAATATTTTAATGCAATTAATTTCAAATTACAAATAGCCAACGCCGTTCCCGAATTGCACACATTTATGCCATTAGCCAGGACAAGAAATTTCGACACGCCAAGAGTCAACAACTATGGAGTTTTGAGATATGACTTCGATTTGCATCAAGCAATATTGGGCATTTTGAAGACTATCGAGAAACCGGTCGAAGTTTTCTCTCATACTTATATATTCTACAGTCTTCTCACTATGCTTTTTCTCCTAAATGTTTCCATCGGTGTAATACTAATACTACGGAAAAGGAAGACCCAGGCAACGTACAACTCTCTAAGCATGGAGGAGATACAACTCCCATTACCCGAACCTACCACAAATACTTACCTGAGTTTCTCGAAATCAGATGAAATAATTTACGATACTCCATCTGCCGTTAGAAAAGTCTGGATTCAGGGACCATTGGCATCTTCAGCTTCTAGTATTTAACTACTTGCTTTCCTTTCAGGAGGAGAGATTAAAACAAAATGTGTGGAGGCAAGGATTGTAAAGGATGCAAAGAGTCAGTCAATAAGCGTGAATTAGGCAACTATCCAATCGATCCATCCAAGTATCCAGAGATCTTCGAACATTTTCACAACTATACCCGTTCTAAACTTATTCCAGGATTCAATAGAATTTTTATTCGTTCTTCTCCCAATGTATCAACAATTGAGGAGATAGTGTGTACGTCTTGCTACATAATGTTACCTCAAGTTGATAGGGAAACTTATCGAATGCAACGTTATTTCCACAAGATCAATATTGATGGACCAGAGGAATATTGCTCGATTTGCTATAAAACTATGTTAATAATTAATCCGGCAGTATCTTGCGAAAAATGCATTCTAGTTTTCTTAAACCATGAAATTGAGATAGAAAAAGATCTAGGAATGCATTTCGATGCTTTCGATGATTAAGGAAAACTCACAAAAAAACAAAAAAAAATATATATAATAATAATAATAACATAATAAAAATATAGAAATATAGAAAATAATTTTAAATCTTTATTATAATAATGATAGATATAGATACCATTAATATATACAATATTATAATAATAAATAAATAAATGAATACTAATAATAATTAAAAATAATAACATTGATAAATAATAATAAATTAATACTATGTTTTATCAAAATAGAGGAAATCTCTTACTAAGAAATTTTAATTAAAAAAAAATAATAAATAAATAAGTAATATATTATTAATTTATAAATTTTAATTGTCTTGCTATTTAACCGCTATCTATAAATAGAATTCTAAACACAAAATACCTAGCTATTAACTAGGACAAACCAGTTTTGTTTTACGACAAAAAATTTGATGCACTTAAACGACAGTGGTCACCAAACCGTAGTTGAGAAGAAAAAGAAAATATTTAGAGATAAGGTAGTAACCGATAAAAAGGTTGAAGTAAATTAAGATATAAAGTGTAAACTTTTATGAAGTAGTTAAAACATAAACTACCTCTTGGTAATCTCTGCTCCTTCGTCAGCCTTATTGACCAGCATTTTTTTTTTTTATTTATATAGTAACAGTATAATAGTAATAAAAAAAAAAAAAGGAGAGAAAAATGAAATACATAAAATAAAATAATACTGTACTCTAACTTTTATACCTGATAAGTTAGAATACATTATACTATAAGAAGTTGTTTTTTTTATTATCATAGAAGCATTAAAAATAGAATTGATTAAATTAACGGATTCTACTCATGATGCTCCTCCGATATATTAATAAATACTATCTGATTGAGAAATTAAAGTTTGAAATGTTTCAATCATTAAAAACTATTGTTCAAAAATTACTATTTATGCAAATATGATCATTTCAAATCAAATTTCTGAATCAGAGTAAAAGGGGTAGTTAATTAATTATTATAAAAATAAGAACACAAAAATTATATAGTAAATAGGAATTTATTTTAAAAAGAAACATAAATATTCGAAATACATAAATTAGTACATAAAATTTTATATTTTATATTTTATGATCCATATGCTATTATTCGTCATCGGTCTCCAACGCCATCATGAACCATTCTAGCACTGCTACTATCCGTGGTGGAGCCGTTGGAATGGATGCTCGGAGACGACTGCCTAATCCGACCAGCCCCTGAAGAAAAGAAAAAAAAAATATATTTTTGTGTTAATTCTCTTATAAAACATTATAATGAAATTGAATTAATATTTATATGCTACTTACTTTCAGTAAGGAACGTCCTCTAAGGTCTCGATGTTGACATGGAAGGTAATTAAAAATCCATATCGCTTCGCGAGAATCCAGATCACCTAACAACACCAACAGAGGATCCATGAAAAGGAAGCCCTCTTGACGAATTTGGGGCACAAACTCCAAATCTAATAGATGTCTTCCTGCAGGAAGAGTGGCTGCATGTCGAAATCTTTCGACACATAACTGCTATTTGGTTCTTTTTTACATTTTTTAACAAATATAAATAATGCTGTGAAGCGGGAAAGAATAGGAGTTACGGATAATTATTACGTGAAGCGTTCCAACATTCACGTAACAGGATAATTGGTAGGAAAGGATTGAGAAAGGATTGTGGAGAGGAACTTCTTAATGTGAGTGTATAGAATATGCGAGAAAAATTATTAGATAGCTCGGACTGGGATTCGAACCCAGAACCAAACAGGTCTCCCGCATTCAGTGTGTATATATATATATGTATGTATATATATGTATGTATATATATTCAGCGGGCTGGGTGAAGCCAAGTCCTGCCAATAAGAAGATAGGTTATAGCATGTTCTGATTGCACAGATTAATATAATAATTAAAGTTTATTATGACAATACCTGTAATTATTACAGTGAATGACAATTGAGATCCTGGATGAATGCTGATGAGCTGTCGGAAGTTTATTTGTTCGATTGACTTGTATTTTAACACTTAACTACGCTGTGATACCGTACTTGTCGGGATCACGTGGAATAAATGCAACAGTCAAAACATGGCTTTGACTGCGTTGAATGCCGTATCCACCAGAGGTGCCTCGGAGGCTGCCTCCTCTGGTAGTTAAATAATTGCTGGAGTTATCGATCACGAGTTGGTGGTCGGTAATTCCGCAACACAATCATAGTCCGTTATGCGGTTGTGTGAGAGACGGTTTACTTGTAGTAGTGTGTCCATGCGTCTCTCTCTACTACTTTTCTGGCCCCCTCTCTAAGAAAAAGACTATAGCTCTCTCACTTAAAGAAAAAGACATATGACTCGAATTAAGAGTGGGGATTCAAAGCCGAACATTAAAGGGTTAATAAAAAAAAGGAAAGTAGACTGAGTACACATCGCGGTCCACTTTCCACTATTGAAGTCAACCCGTGGTATCTTATGCAACGGAGATCTGAATAATTTCTGGAGCCAAAGTACTGTATATTTTGTCGAACTCCCTCGTCGCTTGCTAGTTAACTTCGGGGGCCGATTCGTTGGTACAAGTCCTTGTTATTAAATTGTTACCTATGTAACCAATGCATATTAGTGACAGATCTTTTATGTTTGAATAGAAAAAATATAATTGCATCGCTTCATTCCAAAAAAAACAAACGCGAGCGATTCAATAATTACCTGGTATATTTTTCGGTTTGCACGCGGGCCGATGGTTACCTTTCTTTTGTCCATGTTTGTCCAAACTCTATGACGTCTGAACCTCTTCTCCCGAGTGTTTCGCTTCGTTCACACGTGCCAACTTACTACTCCCTACTTTCTACTCTCTATCGAGGCCCGAAGATCGAGACGTTTTAAGAACATTCAGACGTTAAAGTGGTGCTTGTCAACACTACCTCAACTAAACTTCTACTCATACAGCCTTACAACAGTGTTTGATTAGCTCTATCCCTACGTGACTCACACCTAGACTCACTTATACTCAAAGCCGGGAAAGGATTAACATTTGATAGAATTTTCGCAAAATTTTCGTGAAATAATACTTGAGAACATTCTTAATGAATTTCAGTTAGAAATCCCGAGTCAAAAAACAAATTCTAGTTTTAACCTCAAAAGCCTCAAATCCTTTGATGTTTTATTTGCCGCACAGAAAGTAACTCTACTTTAATACTCAAAATCCTCATTGAAGATTTTGAGGTCTTAATGTGAACCACCCGTTGATTTAGAGTCCTCACTACAACCTCAAAAGTCTCATTCAGTGAAAAGTTGTATTTTGGACTTAAATTTTTTTGATGAAGCAAAAATTTTCTAAGTTACATTTACAAATTAACATATAACATGAGAAATATGTCACAACTTTATGTAAAAATAGTTATTAAAAAATCAAAAAAAATTTTCTAAAAGATCAGTGATAATTTTTTTATCTGACAGTATAGTTTTTGTAGCATTTGTTGGCATATTATGTCTGTTAGGTACAAATTAATGTGACGAAACACGGAATCTTGATTTTTAGGCGAGAATTAAAGAACACCTACGCTCACGTTTAAGGAATGCAATTGTAACTAAGTCATTACCAATAAACTAATAGATAATAAATAATATCAATAAAAATCTAAATACATATTTGTTATTTTATTACGTAACGAATAATCAATTCTCAGTGACCAATGGACAAAATAATCCTTCAAGTTCGAAAAATTGAATTAGGTTCATTAACGTGCTGATACAACCGTAGGTACTCAATAATTAAATGATTTTTTGAAGCAAGTTACATAGTACATCAGGTAATTTAATTAATTTTTTTAAATGCTGTAAAACATTTGAAACGTTTGTTGAAACCAAATCCATGTAATGATTCATCAATGCAAATGCTTATTCAGATTTTGAATTTTTCAATCTGTTTTTTTTTCTCAATCACAATTAAGTTTTTAATAATAAGCGTTATTTTAAAAATTTTGGGATTCAGTCACATATCAGTATTATGAGAGTCCATCATGTCTTGAAGTCGAATAGAGTTTTAAAAGTTTTATACTCTTAAAAGAAGATAGAAATGAGAATAATTAAATGACCTTATAAAAAAATGACTTCACATAAAAGGGTTATGACAGTCAGAACAAGAATAGATTTTTTTTTGCATTTTTTCAGAGTATATATAATAATAATTCTGTATCGATTTGTAAAAAATGAGATTGTTACATCATACATTTTTGGAAATATTTAATTTTAAAGTTAGAATTTTTTCAGTTATACATTGCACTATAGGAGAAAAGAATAAAATTTTCTAGTATACTTGATTATAACTCAAAAACTTTACGTAATACTTCCATAAAAACTAAACTAACACTAAACAAAAACTATTAATTTGTTTGAAAAAAGGTTTCATTTATGGTGACCATATAAATTTTTAAATATTATTAAAAAATGAGTACAATATTCGAAAATAGTCATGAGTAAAAGTGTATAAGGAATAGTAATGTAATTGATATTTTCTTTATCTATTTTCTTGTCACAAAAATTTGTAAACTTAATTGACATAATTTTTAGTTAATTTAAGTGAAGCTATTTTTTGTTTACTGATAGTAAAAACAGTAATAATTGATACTTATCTCTAAAAAAATTTATTATTAACGATAATTAAACAAATAGTTTGAAAAGACTCCTCGAGATAAAAAACGCATGGTTGGAAAACAGCATTATTTCTTTCCAGCATATAGTAGGTTTCAAATCTGAACGAAAGCCTCAAAATCCTCATTGAGGAATATGAGGATCAAATGAGAATTCCAATATATTTAAAGTATGTACAGTTATCATCAGAACAACTACATGCGTAGTATAGAGTAGTCGGTTAGGTTTAGGCTTAGAGAGCGTAGGGTTCCGTGTTCGAGTCCGAGCGTTGTACGATTTTAGATTAATATAATTTCGATACATAGGGAAACAAGAAAGGTAAACGTGTTAAGTATATGAAACGATAATCTGAACACCCAAATTGAAACAACAATCCCAAAAAAAAAAAAATTTTTTTGGTTTCAATTTGGCTAATTTGTTTTGATGGAATTAATTACTAAAATGTTATATGACAACTTGTACCACTGCCAAAAAATTTTACACCTCGATCACTTTGAATTTATTTTATCAGATAAAACCATTTGTTTATTTAAAAAATGCAGGGAGGATTTAAAAAACAATAGTGCCATATTCATTTAAAATTTTTAATAGTAAAATTATTGAAGAATATTGTGAAGGTTTTGAGGTTCAAACATGAATTCTGAAGTTCTATTTTTACCCTCAAAGTTGTAAAACCATCCGTAAGTAGGATTTTGAGGTCCAAATCGTGACTACTTTCCATATTGAAATCTATCTTGAAATTCCAAATTTGCCCTCAAAAACCTCACTGAGGATTTTGAGGCTCAAATTGGAATTTATATTTTGACTCGAGATGCTTTGTAATTTCTTTGAAAATTTAATGTCATTATTCTGTAGTAATTATATATTTTGAATTTCGCTGATAAGAGTAGTATTGAGGATTGAGATTGAAATATGATTGACATCAAATTTGTAATTTTATAATCTATATGTGTGGAGAATAATCATAGAGCGAATGTAAATTGTAATCAAATGGAATTATATTTAAGTGTGTCAGATGAGGTTATTTGTTAAGAAGATTGATGACGCTTCATAAAAATAAATGTTAACACATTTGCTTGATACTCGGAACCCATAGGGACTAAGTGAAGATCAACGTAGACTAGAAACAAAAATCAGAATTCAAAAACTAAATGCTGTTCGAACGAATTTAAAGGTTACGAACAGTGTAATATCTGATGTTTAAGCTAAAGCGCTGGCGGACTCGAATATTTTTAGTATCATTTCCATGCATAGAGAAAGAACTGTAGGTATCTATAATACAGATATATTAACAAACATAGATATCGTCAATATGATTTTTATAAGTGGACAAAAATTGTACTTACGTTTAACAAAATTAGAAAAAAAATAACCTTTCGTAGGGCATAATGCAACGTTGAAAAGTTCCATTAATGCTTTATTTAATTATTTTAATACACAAAAACTTCAAATTGTTCATTGTTTAGTTTATTGACGAGTTGAGCAATGAAAAATTCATGAACATCAATTCACTTAGATGAAATAAAATCCATCAAATTTATTTTAAGGTTTTTATTATTCGTAACTTCATTAACATATCAAGTAAATTTTCTTCTTCATTCAATGGTGATGTAAAATGTTGTTCCATAAATGGATAATTAATGAAGAGAATATGCAAAAAAATGTATTATTTTGTTTCGGAGATGTTATAGATCGTCATGCTGAAAATTTACTTCTGCATCATTGTCATTCTCGATTACTTTACTTTCAAGATCTGGAAGCATAAATTTTATTTGTCAATTATTGATTGAAGCAAGAGACAGGAACTTCATAAAAATTTACAATTTTATATTAATAAAACCGAATGTGTTGCTTGGTTGCCCAATAATTTACGGTGATCTGAGATGAAAAG